CAGATTAAGCAGAATGAAAGGAATTCCTTGGCCTCAAAGCCGGGGATTTGGCTCTGAGCCAGAGAAGGGTCCCTGGCCTCTTGTCTGACGTCCCTGAAGCCTGGGCAGTGGCTGTGCTGGGGGTCTTGTTGGAGGAGATTCATCATTTCTGAAAGGTGGGGCTGAATGTCCCAGGGCAGCAGGGCTCAGGTGCATGGATGTCACCTGAGGCTGCAGTGCATGCTCACGTGGAGGGTCTTTTTGGCTCCAGTGGCCTACTGTCCATTGGGTCATTGTGGTGGCCATCACAGACAGGATCCTCAGCCAACCAGGCCCTCAGGGCATTCCTGACCAGGCTCTGACCTCACCCTATCTGGAGATGCAACCCTGGCAGCCTTGTCCAGAGTGTGGGCCCTGCCTCTGGACCCCAGCAGACTGACCAGCTTCCAGGAGCCATCACAGATGGGCTCCTCATGCCCACCCTCTACTCCACCTGGGGTTTTGGGCAAACCTCTTTTTTCCAGGCCAGCTTGCCTAGCACATACTGTGCCCTCTGCTTGTCCCACCGACCCCCAGACTCACCACCCCTGCCCTGGGAGCAGGTCAGAGAGTCTTCAAGGGGGTTCAGGGTGGAGTGGATTGGGGCAGGGCAAGCCTCTGCCAGCCAGTCTCCCCAAGCCCATGGGCCATGGAAGGGCTGCTGCACCTGGCCATTGGGCCCTGTGCCATGGACAGATGCCCAGCCCAGGGCCCTAGCATCCTGGGACCCAGAGTGTCCCAGAGCACAGCTCATGTCTGAGACAAATCCCCCGGAGTTGGGGCTGTGGTTCACAGCTTGATAAGGGGCCAGGGCTCCAAAGGGAACATCTCCTGCCACAGAAGGACCTGAGGCTGATGTTCCAACTGCTTTTTTAAATTCTGTATTTGTCTCTTTGATATCTATTAATCACAGAGCCAAACTACCAGCCACAGGTGCTTGTTTACATCTCGTAGCGCCCATTCTCCACACCACCCCCTTACCTACCCCGACACACCGCACAGATATTGCCCTGCCCTAAACCACCCCGGGCCAGGTGCCAGCCAGCCAGGGGCAGCCCCGCACCCCAGGGTCCCGGGAATGACTGGGGCAGCCAGTCCTGCTCTCTCTCCGCTGCCCTGTCCTGGCTTCATTTCCTTCCCTCTAACGTAAAACTCGCCACTTCAGGCCGAGAGAGACGAGCAGGGACTGGATTTGCCCACTTGTCTGCAACAAGTGAAAACTGAGGCAAAACCTACAAAACCAAAACAGTGGTTTTCAAACACTGGACAGCAGGCAGCATAAAACAGCGTCACTTCACTGAGGTGGGAAATAAGGTGAGTCTGGCAATCGCCCTGGCTTGCTGCCCAGGGATGGACTAGGTTCAGGGAGGGAAACTGAGGCCAATTCCCATGACGAGCCGGAGCATCCAGGGGGACAAGGCGGCTGGAATCTGCCCTGATAGAGTCCTGGAGAACTGAGCCACCCTTAGACTGAGCCCAGAGATCTGCAGAGGGCCCCCCTAGACTCTTCGGCTGAAACTAAGGGGTGCAGGTGTGGGAGGAAACTGAGGCTGGGGCAGGATGTCTCCCCTCCCCCTGGAAAGGAGCAGAAGGACCAACCTCTGGTGTCTCCTGGGGCTAGGAACAGCAAGCTCCCAGCAGAGGAGTGGACTCCAGGCACAGTTTCCCTGCGCCCCCCTCACTGGTGTGCCCCCAAACAGTCCCTCCCTGTAACCTTGTCCTATTACCCTGAGGTCTGTGAATCCCTTAATGCACCCTTCATGCCCATGGAGAACTAATAAAGATCTCCCAGAACCTTCTCTCTGGCCCTTCCCTATACTGCTGAGTCTTTAGTTCACTTGAAGGCTGGCTCGACTTCCACTTGTCACGCAAGCCCCTCTCATCCGTGGCCTGGCCTCTCTGGGAGTGAGAGCATCTAGAGCTTGGGGGGACAGGTCCCAGAAGGGACCATGGGGAGGATGGCTCAACCCTGGGCAGAGGGGCCACCTCAATGGACGATGAGAAGTGACATGCCCACAATACGGAGGACAGGCAAACTGCCGGCACCTTCTGTCCTGGTCTCCTCTCCTCATCTAGACTCATGCTAAGAAAGTATTTTGGGATCAATGGGGTGGGTGAGTCCAGGTCCCGATGCCTTCCCTTCTCCAGCTCGTTACAAGGAACCTAGGGCAGAGGACTGCTGGGATTTCCAGGCCTGTGGGGTACCCAGTGGAGAGCACTGTGCTCACCCAAATGCACCTGCCTGTCCCAATGACAGGGAAGAAGGGTCCCATAGTCCCCAGCCTGTGCCAACCCTAGCCAAAAGGCCTGGGGCAGGTTAAGGACCCCCAAGGTAGAGGCAGCCACCTCCCAAGCTCCTCCAAGCTCCTTCCTGAACACCCAGAGCTCTAAGGACCCCCACTCCCTCCCACTCACACCACCCTAGTTGGGCTGGGGTGGGGGGGTGGAGAAAAGGGGTCCTTGGCCCCTTCTCCTCCACTGGGCAGAACAGGAAGAGGGTGATTGAATCAGTACTTCTCACCCCTTCTGGAACATTCCAACATGGAAAACCCACTAAGCAGCTGGGGAAGCAATTTGGGGACTTTAATTAAAGGCTGCTGAATCCCCCACAGAGCCCCACCCCCACACACAGCTGGAGAGGCCTACCACATCTGCCCTCAGTGTGTTCCGAGGTCCAGGCACTGGAGCTGGCGGCTAGGCCCAGTTTCCACTGAGGGGGGCTGAGCAGAACAAACCAGTTTACCCTTTCTACTCATGGCCTCAGAGTCTGCCTTCTGAGCTCAGCCTGGATGCCAAAGCCAAACTAGTGGCCCCACAGCTCTGTACCCAAGTGCTGCAGGAAGGGAAAGGCTCAGGAAAGGAACTCCAAGTGTAGGGAGGAAACAAGCCCAGAGTGAGAACTCAGCTGCCCTGTTCTGAGGCTGCCTCCATCTCAGTGTGCACCTTCTGCAGGAAAGGCATTCCAGACAGAGGGAACAGCATGTGCAAAGACTATGAGGTCAGAAAGATCCCAGCAGGTGGGAGGAGCTGACAGGGGCAGAAGCCTAGGGGTGAGAAAAGGACAGAGGTGCATGGGTGGGGGCCACACCTCAGAAGGCTTGATTGCTGCAATCAGGAATCTGGTCTTCATTCTAGAAGCAAGGGGGGTGGGGGAGAAGATTGGAGTGTTATAAAATAATGATATCTGGTTTACTCTGAAGACACCCCTCTGGTGGCCATGCATGCAGACTACTCGTTGCAGGTGAAAAAAGAGGTGCCAGGGAAACAATGAGGGACCTGTGAAGCCATCCAGGCATGAGATGTCAGAAGTTTGGACAAGGGGTCTCCAGGGAGAAGAAATATGCATGGATAAGGCTGGGAACTAGGACTGGGGCCAGGGGATGTCCTGCTTTTCCTCCTGCTTCTGCCAACCAGGGCAGGCTGCCATGCCATCCCTAAGTGGAGTCCCCCATAGGAAATGGAAGCAGAGCTGCCAGGTACAAGTGCTCACCACCCAGCAGATTCCTAAACTGGGCACCCTCGTTATTGTAAATTGAGCCAGCCCTCCCCTTGACCCACATCAGAGGTCCAAGTTGGGGAGGAGGCTATGAGTACATTTCACCCACATCTGCCCACATCTCTACCACAGTTCCACCGAGGTGACCTGGGACCAGCCTCCAGCCCTGCTCCTGGCTTTCCCTGGATGGTGGGCCTAGAAAACAATACTGGCCCCTCAAGGCAGCTCCAGACTGGAGTGTCCTCTGGGAGCAGAACTAGGAGGGCAAGGGGTGGGCCTCCTGCCTGCTAGAGACAGATGTCCCCATCTCCCACACAGCCTTCTGCTGAGGCTCTTCTCATACACCAACATCCACTGACCTCAAGTCCACACCATGGGTAGGTCATGTGACAAAGTGACCATGGTGATTGGTGGGGGCACTAGCTGAAATGGAGAGTGGTGACTGACAAGGTGCTACTCCCCTGAAAATCCTCATTCTGACCCTGAGGCGCAGGACAGGTTGTGGCCCAAGTAGCCCAGGGTAGAAAAGCCCCTTTGGGGTCAAGGATATGATATGGACCCAAGGCCTGGGGTGCAGAGTCCACTGCCTGGTCCTACGAGGGCCCGGGGCAGCCTGGGTATGCCAGGCCTGGACCCAAGGAGCCCTGGAAGTTATTGTCAGTGCAACTGGTGGGTACCTGGCAGAGAGCACTGTGGCCAGGAGCAATTAAGAGTCATTACTGAGGGGCCTGGCATTCCCAGGGGTAGAGAGATAGACAGGGCACCCCAGCCTGCCTCAGTCTGGCCTGACTAGAATAGGAGCTGAGCAGACAGCTGGGCTGCAGATGAGCCTTCATTCCTGCCCATCCCCACACCTCCAGGAAGCTGGGTAAATACAACAAAATTGAGACAATAAGAGCCTGGGGCATGCTCTGTGCTCTGAGCAGGGTCTGGTGAGTGGGACCTGTGGGCTTGGCCTGTGGTAGGCAGTGCGGGGAGCTGATAGGAGGCTGTTAGTCACACCATTCCCTGCACACAGGAGTCACTTCACACTCAGTGTGCAGCAATTCCAACAGGTTTCCGGGAGGGAATGTCCACTGGGCAATAAGACACCAAATTAGCTAAAGTCATGGGTACAGACCAAAGTGTTGGAGAGACCCTGCTTTAATCCTGCCCCCACCACTCAAGTGGGTAACCTGGGACCTCAGTTTCCTCATCAGGAACATAGGACTACACCCAGCTTGGTGTCTTGAGGCTGGGAAGAGAGCTCTGGGACAGCCTGCAGAGTCACTGAGGCTATGTGGTATGTCCCTGGGCAGGCCCTAAACCTCTGAGCCTCAGTTGCTCATCTGTGACATGTGGCCAAGCATACCTCAAGGGGTATATAAATATCACGGTTAGACCTCTTCTGGCACTCCAACAGTGCCTGCTAGAGTTAGCTGGTATGATTCTCATTCCCCTGGGCAGTGGCACCTCCAGTCCCCACCCTCCAACCGTCAAGGTCACGTGGAAGAACACAGATCCAAACTTTATTTCTTAAATAGTTCTCTCTACCCAGCATGTGTGCGCAGCCTGCTTTGGCTGGGTGACAGGCATAAATTAAGGTTACTGAGTATCCCCAGACAGGGCGTGGGCTGGCCTGGCCTCTCAGTCCCAGCCAAAGTCCTGGCCGGTCATCTGGTAGAACTTTCGGTTGAAGGGCTGGTAGAAGTCCCGCAGGCTCTGGACCACTGCCTCTGGCACTCGGGGGTGGGGCCGGCCCTTGGACTTGCCCAGGCAGCGGGGGCGGCTGCTCCCCTGGGCCTTCTTGAGGCAGGGGAAGCCCTTGGTGGCATTGAAGTAGAAGTGCTTGTCCGTGACAACCCTTCTGAGGCCCAGGAAGTCCTGCACTCGGCCAACTTCTCCAGCTGGGTCACTGACCAGGCGCTCACCGCTGACAAACAGGAAGTGGGACAGGGGGAAGTGTCGCAGCCAGTTGTCCAGGTGCTGGGCGTAGAGGCCGATGCGCACGGCGCTCCAGGCTGTGTCCACGGGGCCCCGGCCGTGGCGGAAGGCCAGGGCTCGGAAGCTGGGCAGGCCCGGCGTCTTGGAGAGCATCTGTGCGTAGTCGGAGATGGCCCGAGTCACAGGGTTCCGAACCACCACGATCAGCTTCGTGTCCGGGGACATGCTGTGGATGCGGTGAGGGGCCTCGAGAGTCACGAAGTAGCTGGGAGTCTTCTCTATGGTGATCTGCCCGTCCAGGGTGCGTGGCATCAGGCTCCTGCGGGTTGCGTGGCAGGAGAGGTGGGCATGAGAAGGTGCTGGTTCCCCTCAAGCCCTCCCATCATAGACCAGCCCCAGGGATGCCCCAGACCCCCAAGGTAGGTGAGCCTTCCCCTCCCCCAGACCCACCCATCCTGAAGTGCCAGGGTGGGCAGCCTGGGATGTGGGCTGAGAGCACCCAGCCCCAGCACAGGCCCACAGTGACAGCCTCTCCTGTCAGGCGGCCCACCCTAGCTAGACTGCGCCCCAACCCTGTCACTGCTGTACCTCCCACTCCAGACCAAGCACCACTAATGCCAGTGGCTTGGATTTGCCATCTACAGGGCTCCACCCACCCTCCCCACCCCAAAGGATCCTACACTGTAATTACCCAGGTCACACTTTCATTAAATGGATGAAGGTGTCCCCTAAATTAGGCCATTAATTATTGACAAGTGTCCCGACACCTTTGTCAGCTGCTCTTCTTCTCACTCCCTGCCCTGCATAGCTCCTCCGCCCCCTTTGATTACAGCCCCACTAATTTTCACTGACCCGGGCCCAATTCAAATGCCAAAAGCCTCCAGCACAGCCCAGCACATTAGAGAACTATGAGTGAGGTAGCCTGAGGACCAATCCCAAGGCCTCAGCAGCCAGAGCTTCCCAGGCCTGGCTCGGACCCCAGGATGCAAGGCTGTGACTGGAGCATTTCGGCCAATTCCTTTCATTCTGACTAGGGCAGAGGGCACTGTCACCATACCAAGGTTCTGGGAGAGTTCGCTGATGACTGCCCCCTGACTGCCCCAAACTTGGGGAAGCCCTTTCCAAGCACCCCACTGAGCAGGCCAGGTACCCCGAGCAGTTTCCCAGGTAGTGCAGGGAGAGGCGTGGCAGGGCGCTGCAGGGCCAGCTGAGCAAACAGCTCCAAGGGAGGACTGAAGAGAGGGCTGGAAACTAGGTTAATGGAGGCAGAAGCTGTGGGACCTGTGCCTTCAGAGGGGATGGCCTCTGCCCAAGGCCCTGCCCTGCCTCCAGTCCTCTGAGGGGACTGCCCCTCCCCCCACTGGCAGCCTCCAGGTCTGGCGCCAGCCAGGAGGTGATACACAGGACCAAGTCCAGGTTTCATCCAGCCTGCATCCAGCCTAAGGGACCCCCAGACTCAAGCTCCTGTGAGGCAGGACCCCAGTTTCTTTCTGCTCAGCCCCAATGAAACTCAAACTGGGTGAACACACAGGTGTGCAGACCCACATGTTGGGGTGCTTGGCTTAGAGGGTGCTGGGGATGTGAGTCCCAGGCATACCATGGGCTCAGGGGAGATGGGTGTGTTGCATGGTCTTCAGGCTCTGGAAACTTCCCTCACCGCCTCAAAACAAGGCCCTGGTCAGAACTGGTCTACAGAAGTCACCAGGAAGGGGAGGGATGACAATTCTGTTTCCCCATCATGATGACAAAGTGAGCTGGAATCTCCCTCCAACCCACTCACTGTCCCATTTGATAGGCAGGCACACTGCCGCTCAGAGAGGGAGTGAAAAGCTGGGGGTGGGGTGGGCACTGACCCACAGCACTCCCACCTGTGGGGCTGCAGCTGCTGGAAGGGGCAGTGTCAGCTTGGCTTCTGCTCCCAGAGCCCCTGCACCCACACCCTGCCTTGTGCCCTGGGATTACAAGCGGGAACAACACCTGGCCTTTCTGGATAAGTTCAGTGAGACCTCGGGTGTTGACAAGGACTTGAGGCCAGGGCTGCAGCCTAAGGTGGCCATTTCAGCCCCCCCCCCCACAGTTTCCCCAGGAGGGAATCAAAAGAAAGGGAGTCTCCTCCACTGGACCTCACTGCTGAGACCCACGAAGAGAAGCCTGGGCTGGGGCAGATGGACTGCCAGGTGGACCAGAAGTCATTGTCCCTCCCTTCATTGCCCCCCTCAGGAAGGAACCAGCCCTGGTTACTCCAGGATCCTCCCCTTCCATCTTTTACACCCCTGCTTTTCTTCCCCCAGGCACTGAGTGATCCCAGAAGCACTCCTTCCCCTCCCAAACTGGGCACTTAGGGTGCTGAACATTCCCCCACCCAGCACTCCTGCCTGAGGGGAGGGAGCCGCAAGGAAGGATACCACAGAAGTGGGAGGAGCGGAGTGGGAGGTGCTTCCCGGAACCCTGTGGAAGGGGGATGGGAATGGGAGGGGCTGCAGATTTTCCAGGCCCACTCTTGCTACATACCAGCTTTGAGATCTGAGATCTCTGGGATCAAGTACTATCCTCACCTGCCCTCAGAAGCCTGTCCTGGCCTGGGCATGGAGGAGGGTGAGGATGGAGGTTTCGGGGGTTGGGAGAGACAGGGGAGGGGATGAGAGGAACAGGACTCTGACCTCCACACAGCAAACATCTGACAAGTTGTTCCCGGACCCTCCCTGTTCATCTGGTCTGCATTTCCCTGCGGCTTCCATCCAGCCCCAGGCCACTCTCCCTCCTTAGTCTCATCCCCCCTCATGTCCCCCGTCTTGCCTGGGCCCCATCCAGCCGGGCCTGGGACTGAGCAGAAGCTACTTAGGGTTTCTGTGTGGATCCATAAGGTGCTGGGGGTGGGACATTGGTCCCCTGCCACAGGAGCCTTTCTGGGCTTAACACAGGAAGAAAAGTCCCATAGAAGCCCAGGTCCCTTCCCCACATATTCCCACTCCCTGCATTAGCCCCAGGAGCCAAGGGGTTTCCCCACTTACACCCCTCCTGTCTCCTCTCAATTTTCCCAAATGCTAAGGTCAAAGTATAGCCCCACCTGCCCCCAGACAGGATAGCCCTTGTCTGTGGACCCCAGCACCTGCCAAACAGAAATGCTCAGTGAGTGAATGAATAGATGAGCAAATGCTGACTGAGTTTGGGGGTATTTGGAGGTCACAGTCCCAAGATGAAGGACCCTCAAGAGTCTCAGAGATGGGCTAACTGAGGCTCAGGGAGAGGGAAAGTTTTGGTCAAGGTCAACTTTGGGCAGCCCCAGAGCCCACCTGCCAAGGCCATGGGAAGGGCCAGGGTCACTGCCTGGAATGAGGTCAGTCACAGCCCAGTGGGCATGAGTGTCCCAGAAACTCAGCTGGGGGTACTCCTCCTCTACTCACCACCCTAACCCTCCACCCAAAACACTCCTAGAGGCTCAGCCCAGGGTCCTGAGAGCAAACAACACCACCAGACCGTGCCCAGGGGCTGGGCACCCTCTTTGCAGCTGGGGAAGGGGTGGGCATTTTCAGAGGCTCACTGCACACTCAGAGTAGGTTGAAAGAAAAAAAGGGCCAGAGGCACAGGACACCTGTAAGCACACCAAGCCCATGTTTGTACATGTCAGCACATGGGCACCTGTGCTAGGTACTCTGCACCCACACCCTGTCTCGTGCCCTGAGAATTCAGGTGGTAACAGCACCCAGCCCTCTTGGGACAAGTTCGGTGAGACAGTCCCCTTTGAGGGAACTCCAGCAGCTCAGGCAGCCCAGGTCCTGCTCACTGTGCACCAGCCAATGAGGGGTCAGCGCTAGACAGCCCAGAAGAGCACCTCCGGATTAATGGGGCAAGGCCACCAGGACCTGACCCTCTGCATCCTCTGCACCCCCTCTTCCCCCCCCCCCAGTGGAGGTGGCTTTAAAAATGAGGAAGGAGAAAGTCCCTTCTTTACCAGAGCTAAACTCCCTCCTGAACCCCCTGGCTCCCATCTTGGGCACCCCAGTGTTCCAAGAGACCCGAGCTGAGGATCTGACCTCCAGTCTGGGTCTAGTGTCTGCCGCCTCTCAGGCCCTCATCTTCCCCAGACCTGTCCCTCAGAGCTGGAGCATGCTCGCAGGGGAGCCGGGAAGGGGCCTCAGGATCCCTGGCTCTTTTAAGAACCCTTTTAGGGCTACACCCGTTCTAGCCTCCCCTGCAGCCCCCCATTAGCCCAGCTCAACGTCTCCCCCCAGCTTCTTGTAGTCAAAGTTCTTGGGATCATTGTGGACCCTGAAATTTGCACTACAGTTAACAGTGTGTTCTCCACTCTCCCATCCCCTCCACTCCCC